GAAAAGGAGTGCCTTCTATTTGGACTACCGTCATGGGAACCTGCCTCCTGTAGATCTACCAGGAGGGAGGAAAGGAAGGAATGGCCAGCAAGAAGCACTTGAATTTATGTTAGAAATATTATGTCCAACTCATTAAATTTCTCATATAAAACAGGTGAGCAATGTCAGACACACAGAGAGGCAGAGAAACCCAAAAGATTCTGAGAGGAAGGTTACTGCCAGGAGAAGGCTGGTGATATTAATCTTGTCACCTTCATTCAGGGAATGTATTCACTGCTCTTTGTAACATGATGGGCTACTAACCCCTTGTTCAGGGTGCAAAGTCTGAATGCTATTAATTTCTGAGATGAGCCCTGGAGAGGCGGGGTGTGGGAGTGTCTGCCTCCAGACTCTGGATGTGGCAGATACCTAAACATCAGCAGCTTGTGAATTTCTTCTTTGCCACACCCCAACCCCATGAAGATTTGTTGTTGTTGTTGTTTATTTGTCTTGAGACCGGTTCTCACTAAGTTGCCCAGGCTGGCCTTGAATTTGTGATGTTTCTGCCTTAGCCTCCTGGGTTGCTGGGATTACAGGTGTGCGATATTGTGCCCAGCCTAGCACAGGCTTGCCTGTGTGTGTGTGTGTGTGTGTGTTTGCACATGCATGCTGGAGATTAAACCTAGGGCCTCACACAAGCTGAGCATGTGCTCTATCATTGAGCTACCCACTGGAACTTCTTCAGTCTGTAGATTACATATGCATTAATAGTTTTCTGTTATGAAAACCTCTTCACATTCACGGTTGGTGGAAATAGTTCTTAGTTTTATGTTGTTGGATTTTAGCGGACAGTACAGTACATGGTAGGAGCAGGAATATGGATATAATTAGTTCTTTTGCAAGAGGGAAAACACATTAAGAACTTGGGATTCTCTCTCTCTCTCTCTCTCTCTCTCTTAGTTGTAGATGGACGCAATACCCTTATTTTATCAATTTTATTTATTTATGTGGTGCCGGGGACTATACCCAGTGCCCCATCCATGTGAGACAAGCGCTCTACCACTGAGCCACAAACCCCATTTTGGGATTCTTAATCAGAGCAGAATACTGACTCATTCTCTATGGAAAAGATTAGAAAATCTGTAGTGACAATTTAATAATAGTAATTAAAGAAAAGTCAGTCCTTTGGGATGCAGAGGAAGGAAAAATCCCTAGGTTTCTTGCTTGTCAACATCTAATCTCTGCCAGAGCCCAGCCCCAGGAGTCTGCAGGGCCTCAAACCAGAAGAGAGAAATTATGTCAGTGAGTCTGCTTTGACTGATGGCTGTTTGCTGGGAAACTGCTTTTCAGTGTGCGGAGGGAGGTGACATCAGAGGGAGCCCAGCCTGAGTTGAGGTTTTCATGCAGTTGGAAAGTAGACCATCAGCTTGGCCTTGGTCATATAATGACCTAGAAGTGTGATAGTCCTCAGTTACAGGGTTTGTCCTAAGCAAAATAGTCTGTGTCTCCTGTCTGGGGAGGCTGACACCCTCTAAGTCTCATTGGGCTTTTGAAACACCATTGTCTAAACCCAATCTAGAACTCACTACCCACATATAGGGCTGAAGTGAGACCTTTTGCATTTTGAAGGGGACTGTACAGAATTCAGAGGAATGCATTTCTAATGGTGAAACTTCAATACTCACAGTGACAAAAATAATTTGAGGCAGTACCTACCTTGTGCTATTCAAAATACCAGATAGATTGCCATGAACTTCACCCTTTTTTTTAGGGGGGGGTAGTGTGGGTTGAACCCTGGGTTGCTTAACTACTGAGCCACATCCCCAACCTCTTTTTAAATATTTCATTAGAGACAGGGTCCTGCTGAGTTGCTAAGTTGCTGACACTGACTTTGAATGATCTTCTTGCTTCTCCTGGGATTACAGGTATGCGCCGGACTTCAAACTTCACCCTTTTCAAAAAACAAAATTACAATAATTTAGTTCACTGTTTTAGTCAGCTTTTTCGCTGCTGTGATTAAAAGACCCAACCAGAACAACGGAAGAGGAGGAAAAGTTTATTTGAGGGTCACGGTTTCAGAGGTCTTAGTCCATAGAAGGCCAGCTCCATTCCTCGGGGCTCGAAGTAAGGCAGAACATAGTGGCAGAAGAGTGTGACAGAGGGAAACAGCTCATGTGATGATCAGAAAGCAGAGAGAGGGACTCTACTCACCAAATACAAATATATACCTAATAGCCACGCCCCCCAATGCCTACCTCCTCCAGCCACACCCTACACTTCAGTTACCACTCAGTTAATCCCTATCTGAGGATGAATTCACTGATTGTGGTAAGACTCTCACAACCCAACCATTTCTCCTCTGAGCCTTCTTGCATTGTCTCACATGTGAGCCTTTGGGGGACACCTCACATCCAAACTATAACAGTTCAGAGATCTTAATTGGCTTTTTTTTCAATTATAGAATTGGGCAACAATATGTTCCATAAAATAGAATAAGTATTCCAATGAGCCAAGCAGAGGAGGTTGATTTTATTGACAAAAAAGAGCTGAAGAAAAATAGAAACAGAGAGCAAAAAGCAGATTGGTTGTTTAAAAAAAAAACTTTTTTTTTCTTTACTGCAATGTCAGGGATTGAACCCAGGGCCTCACAAATGCTAGGTCAGTGCTCAACTCTGGTTTACTTTTCTTGTAGGAAGGGAGATAGAGCAATAGGAAAATAACTGATGGGTTGACATCAGGTTACTTTTTTGGTGTAAGGATTAAAGCAGAGGCAACTTCATTATCTTGACAACTGAAACTGGTCCACTGGGGAAATTTAGCTCTGTCTCTCTAATCCTGATTTCTTGGAAGGCCAGATGAGTGGCTTAGTTATAGCTTAATGATGGGAACTTAAACATGAGTTGACTCCATTTAAATTTTTAGCCTTGTCTGTTAGGGCTTAATAAAGGAGCTTAGTCCAAAATAATGGCCTCCTGTAATTTTTATTAACACTCTCTTGAGAGGTTGGCTCTGCCTTTTGGAACTCCAGAAACATTTGGCTGGCTGTGCTCCTGAGAAATTCATTGATTTCTGCTAGAAACTGCAAGAACTTATTGATAATGAGTATTTATAAGAGATGCTATCAGTAGACAGTAGGTCATTGCTTCTCTCAGAGAAAAGAGAGTAGCAAGAGCAGTGCCTTTGATGACTTAGGAAGACTATGCTTCATGCGCAGGTCTCTACCTTCAAGTACTTGGTGAGATAGTTTTTATTACCTCCATTTTATAGAACAGGAAGGAACATCTGAAGCCATGGGAGCTGCCCACTCCAAGTACCACTGAGGTTAGCACTTTGCCTCTCTCCCGAGTCTATATGGCCATCCACAACAAAGGAGGGAGCCAATTTAAGATAATAAGCCCATGGGAAGGAAGAGCTGTCTTCGTGTTTATTTTCTACATCAATCAGCATGGGGCATGTAAGATTCATAATTACACATTTCTCCTCATTTATCCTTTTATTAGTGATTTTCCCCTCTGTTGGCTTTTAAGCAAGCCACTTTAGAAATGAGACAATCTGACATTGGGGGTTTTATAGCACACACGAGTGATGCTTCTAAAACTCACAGAGAGCTGGGCTTGGTTGTGAATGCCTGTAATCCCAGCAGCTCAGGAGGCTGAGGCAGGAGGATCACAAGTTCAAGACCAAGCTCAGCAACTGGTTGAAGACCAAAGCAGCTTAGTCAGACCCTGTCTTAAAATAAAAAATAAAAAGGGCTGGAGATGTGGTTCACTGGTTAAAGCACCTCTGGGTTCAATCCCTAGTACCGTCCCCATCCCACGAAAATCCTCACAAAGAAGGGGTTGGGGATTTAACCAGTGACAGAGTGCTTGTCTAGCATGTGCAAGACCCTGGATTTGGTCCTCAGGCCTGAAAACATACACACACACACACACACACACAGAATTTGGGTCACAGATATTCAGAACAGGGTTATATGATATATCTTTTTTTTTTTCCCTGAAGTATTAGGAACCCAGATCCTTGTGCATGGAAAAAAATGCTTCTACCCACTGAGGTACATCACCAGACCTACTGTATCTATTTTAATAATATTTTAAAAAATTCATGAGTTCAGTATTCTCTGACTCAATTGTTCTTCAATTAAAACTTACTTTTATTTTAGTCTTTGGTACTGGGGATTGAACCACCACTGAGCCACATTTTCAATCTTTTTAAAAATTTTTCCTTTTGAGACAGGGTCTCTCTAAGTTGCTGAAAGTTTTGCCAATTTCTGGGGCTGGCCTTGAATTTACCATCCTCCTCTCTCAGCCTCCCAAGTCTCTGGGATTACAGGTTTGTGCCATCACACCTGACTCAAACTTACTTTTAAATTATTTGCTAAAGCTATCAACTTCAGGTTCTTGCAGGTGCCTGAAATCTGTGAATTTCTCACTGTATCAACTTTCCATCACAGTGACAAAATACATGAGATAATCAGCTTATAAGGAGGAAAGGTTTATTTTGGATCATGGGTTTCAGAGGTTTCAGTCCATGGTTGCTTGGCCCTGTTGCTTTTGGGTCTGTGGTGGTACTGTATATCATGGCAGAAGCACATGGCAGAAAAGTTCTGTTAACCTCATAGTAGCTTAGGAAACAAAGAGAGAAGAACGGTCAGAGTTCCAATGTCTCTTTCAAGGGCACACCCACCCAATGACCTAACTTCCTTCCACTAAGCCCCACCTCCTAAAAATTACATATATATATGTGTATATATATATATATATATATATACACATATATATATATTTGTCACACATCTGTCTTTATTGTGAGCAGCAGATGGGACACTTCTAGCAATTGTTAAAACATTGATCTACATGGGGCTGGGGTTGTGGCTCAGCGGTAGAGCGCTTGCCTAGCATGCGTGAGGTACTGGGTTCCATCCCCGGCACCACTTAAAAGTAAAAACAAATAAAATAAAGGTATTGTGGCCATCTACAACTAAAGAAATATTTGAAAAAATTAATTTACAAAAACAGGGATTTAGGTGAAGCTACCTGGTGGGTACCTTGGAGAGTTCATATATAGATGCTGACCCAGAGCAGAAAGAAGAGAACTCCATTGCCCTTGAAGGTTGAGGCCATCAAGGAGATGAGGAGCTCTTTGTAGCTATCCCACGTGTACTTGGTGGAGGTAATACCATAAATGAGGAGCCAGGTGGTAAAGAACATGCCAATAGCCAGTAGCACCATGGTCAGATGAGGGGGAAGAGAGTGTTACTGCTGGTTATCGGTGACAAGTCCTGCTTCCTCAAATATGTTGAAGTCTGAACATTAGAGAAGCACGCCGAGGCAAGCATATAAAGCAGGGTTTATTTAAAAAGGGGTAACATAGACTTCTCCCGGGAGGGAGAAGGGGGCCGTAGCTGGTATCCTGGTATCCCAAGAAGCGAGGTGTTCTGCCCTTTTTCTATGTCCTAGGCTTCCTTTGTTCTCCTGCCCTCTTCTCTTTATCTTTCTCCCTCCCGCATAAGTGACTAGGCCCAGGAATGCTCAGTGGGGTGTCCAAAAGGTGGGAAACAGGTGGGCTGAAGGGGGAAGGGCAGGATGGTGCAGCCCAGGACACATTAACAAACTTACAGCTCCCTGTAGGGAGCTGGGACAGGTTACCTTGGCAACAGGTTGGAGCAGGGAGAGATTCTTGATAGAGTGAAGGAAGGGATCTGAAGGAATTAATACATGAGACAATCAGCTTATAAGGAGGAAAGGTTTATTTTGGATCATGGGTTTCAGAGGCACAGTCTCCAACTTATAGGACTCACTCAAAATTGGCCTCCTTGATCTGACCTGACTTGATTTACCTATCTATATTGACTGCCTTTCTAATTCTGGCTTCAAGAGCTGGGTTGACTGGGCTGGTATATCTGCTCATGGTTCCATTTTGCACACAGTAAGCCACTGCTTTGGCCCCACCCCCACCCAAGCCATCACTTCCCATTGGAATCAAATTCTTTATCATCTGAGCTTTTGGGGAACATTCAGGATCTAAACTGTAGCAGTAAATATCATTCTTTTTGGATAATAGAATCATTACAGTTTATATCTCTCATCTAGTTTGGCTATTTATGAGTTCTGTCACAAGTTATTATAATCTCTGTGCCTCAGTTTCTTCATCTGTGCAACAATATAACAATAGTAGCATATCACAGCATTGTTATGAAGATTAAATAAGGAAATTCACATAATTAGTGCCCTTAGTACAGTTTAGAGCACTCTACCAAGATTAGCTATCATTAGCATTATTATAATTGTTTTGAATTACAAAAGTAACATAGGCTTATAGAAAAATACTCTAGCAAAATAAATATAGAACTTTTAAAGTTTTTTAAATTTTTTGGTACCGGGGATTGAACTTAGAGGCACTCAACAACTGAGTCACATCCCCAGCCCTATTTTGTATTTTATTTAGAGACAGGGTCTCACTGAGTTGCTTGCTTAGCACCTTATCCTTGCTGAGGCTGACCTCGAACTTGCAATCCTCCTGTCTCAGCCTCCTGAACCACTGTGATTATAAGCATATACCAACACTGGAAAGCATTTATTGTTCCCTTTTTGCAGATGAGAAAATCAAGGCTCAGAGACAGGTTAAATGGCCTTAGTCATATAATTGGTTGGTAGGAGAGCAGAACTCAACCACTTGAATCCATATTGAGTCCACTCCTGACTCCACATTCAGGGCATTTGCTGCTTTGCTGTTGAGTGTAGACAGTTGAGGGTGGCTCTGGACTGGATCAGACATGTCTGCCCCTAATATCGTGAAATGTTGTGCTCTTTATTAAATGCTTGAATACTTGAGCTGCCAGGAAAGTCTTCTTCCTAGTACCATGGAATGTCCATCAAGTAGGATTTTAAAAGTCTTTACTATTTGCCTAGCATTGTGTTAGTATTGATTTTAGTTTTTACTGTCGAAGCTTTTTGTTCTTTGTAAATATACAAGAAGTTACTGACTGAAACATTATCCAAGTGCTGGGAATTTCTTGGGAAATAAAACCCACACTTCCTTGTAGACCTTCAAGTCTAGCTGGGGAAGTTCACAGTCTAGCTGACAGCTAGCCTGTTCTTTCCTTTCCTGCCCACTGCCTCGGCCTTTCTTTCTTTCTTTCCTTCTTTCTTTTTTGGTACTATGGATTGAACTCAAGGGCATTCTATCACTGAGTTATTTCCCTGGTTCTTCGTTTTTTATTTTTTAATTTGGGACCGGATCTCAAAGTTAAGTTGATGAGAGCCTGGCCTCAAAATTGCAATCCTTTCCCCTCCATGTCTCCAGTAGCTGTGATTTCAGGCTTGTGCCACTGCACCCATCCATATTTTTCTTTTGATTGTCAGTTTATTAATTATGGCAGTAGAGTACTGCATGATTGAACAAGTAATAAAATATCTTGAGGCTTATTAATTTTTCAACCCTTGAACTTTTTTTTAAGTATTTGTTTTTTAGTTGTAGTTGAACATAATAAATTTATTTTATCTTTTTATTTTTATGTGGTGCTGAGGATGGAACCCAGGGCCTCACACATGCTAGGGGAGCACTCTACTGCTGAGCCACAACCCAAGTCCCTAACCCTCAAACTTTTGCTGTTTCCTTTCTCATTTCTTAAAGTCAAGTTCTCAAGTAAAAGAGCAATTAGATAGATCGAGGTTCATCATGACAAAGAGTGACAAGATAATTGCAAGTAACCTTACCCTATTTTGAAAAAGCTATTTTGGTTTTTCAACTAAAATGACTTCTTTATGCTGAAAAGAGATTTGTTTGAAGTAGCTGGCTTAGCTGATGGCAGAAAATCAACCGTGAAATATAAAGAGCTTCATAAAATTGTGACATAACTCACTTTTACAACCTTTATATAATCAATGACAAAAGAGCAGGGAATCCAAAATGATTTATAATTTACATTTGGAATGCAACAAACTCGATTTTGCTCTCTCTGCAGAGTTAAGATTTTGTTTCCATAATTACTTCAATTAGTTTTCATTTTTTGTGTACTGAAATCAGTGAGAGAGGATGGTCAGAGGTGTGCTATATGGCAAGGAAAGTCACTCTAGACTAAGAAACATGTTCCCAGAAGCTCATCGGAAAGACAAGCCCCATTATGGAAAAACCACCAGAGAATACCTGAGAGTTCAGTTAGACACAGTTTTTTCCCTCCAGTACAGGTGACAATGGCAAAAAGGCTTCAAGGTTTGTTTCACTGTTAAGAAGGTTATGAACAAATAATGTCTTTGAGAGTTCTGGGAAGGTGTAATGGTTGAGTAGGGTGTGTATGGAAAATGCCTGGGTGAGATCTATTCATTCATCCACGCAACTGCAATTTCTGAGCAGTTATATGTGAGTCATTGAGCTGGGATTTGGAGTACAAGATAGACCTGATCTTTGCCCCTGAGACAGGTACAGTTTGGCAGGGAAAGTGGAAAGGGCAAAGGAATATAGAATAATCAGGATAAGTAGAGCAACATGGACAACTAACTCCTGTTTGACAAATCAGAGAAAGTTCCAGGAGGTAGAATTTTCTAAAGTTGAGATGTATGAAAAAGACCAAAGAAGAGAGGAATGTTTCTAAGGGAGGAAAGTTGTATGAGAGAAAGATAAGAGAGGGCAAACATGGAGTATTTAACGAGAAAACAACAACAAAATCCCCCAAACCCAGTCATTGTATAGGTGGAGGGTTGGGAGATAGTGATGGGAATATCTCCTGTGTATCTTCATGGCAGCTGGCATGTGGTTGGCCAAACCCCAGCCAGGGTTGTTTAAAAATATTCATCTTAAATTCAGGACTCCTAATTTGTGGGGTCTTATCCCAATTGTAGACATCTCTGGGAGGCTATGAGTATTTAGGATTAGCTCAAGAAGATACTAAAATAGAAAAATTGCTGTCACTCTTGTTAAAGTTTATGTAAGGCCTTTAATTTGGACTGGACTCTGTAGTGGGCCCCAGCAGGCCAAACTAAATCAGAAGGGTATCACCTGTGCTAAGTGCCACATAAACCAACTTGAAAACTTGGAAGTCAATTTTCCCTAAACTGGAAGTTCTAGTCAGACTGTCAGGGTAATAAGGAAGTCTTCTGTTTTGTTTTGGTACTGGGGATTGAATCCAGGAACGCTTTGTCACTGAGCTATAGCCCCAGCTCATATAGATATATAAATTTATTTATTTATTGAGACATGGCCTCACTAAGTTGCTTAGGGCCTCCCTAGTTGCTGAAGCTGGCTTTGAACTTTTGATGTTCCTGCTTCAGCCTCTCCAGCTACTGGGGTTACTTGTGTGTACCACCTCACCGGGCTGTCTTGTTTTAGCCCAAAGATAAAAGTAACTCTGAACTCGACAATTCGTTTTTTGTTCTTTCTGCTTTCTTCAGTCCTTTTCTGTTTGTAAAGCCAACCTCCTCTGCTTAGCTCTTCAGAACACTGATTAGACTTTGTTGTCATTTTGTCTTTTACAGTCCCTTTTCTGATCTCTTTTGATATGGTCCTACAATTCTGGCAGTTGTGTCCAGCTGTCTGCATGAATTAATGTATTAAAATATTTTCCTACTCTTTATTTAACTTCTAGTTTAAAATTTCTTTTAATAGTAAGAATTTAACTCTTTTTTTTGGGGGGGGGGGGGGGGGGCGGTGCGTGGGTACCGGGATTGAACTCAGGGGCACTCAAACACTGAGGCACATCCCCAGCCTTATTCTGTATTTTATTTGGAGAGAGAGTTTCACTGAGTTGCTTAGCGCATTGCTGTTGCTGAGGCTGCCGATCCTCCTATCTATGCCTCTGGAGCTGAGGAATTTAACTTTTTAAAGACTTTAAATATTTTTTCCGTTCCCCTGGTATCTACCAAGCATACTTAAAAATAAGCGTCCTCTCCAAATCACCAAAGTGCTGTGATCTGCTTACCTCGGAAAATGCCCTCAGTTAAGATGGCCGCGCTCCCTTCTATTGCCCTCGCCTGCCCATAGCAAGGATGGTTCCAGTAACCTCCTTTCACGACTCGGTTTTCCCGTAACAAAGATGGTGCCGCCACTTCCGGATCCGGGCTCTGGCTGTGGAGGGGCGGTGAGTGCAACTGGGGCCCCGCTGATTTCTTTTGCGCCACTTTTCTTCATCAAATTTGTTGCGCTTTGGGAAGGGCGCAGGAAAGGGGCCCAGCAGCCTCAGCCACGTGTTCGAGCATTCCAATTTCACAATTGGAAAGCTGTGACGATTTCCGTAGGCCATTACCATTTCTTCCCCGCCCTGTCGCTCCTCTGCCTCAAGGCTAGGCACTCTGTGGCTGCCTGGGCTTTGGGAGTTCCCGAAATGTACAGGCCTCCGGGATGGATGATTTTCGGTTCTTCTGATTAAAAAAAAAAAAAAAAAAAAAAGGTTTTCTTAAGAAATTTCACATACTGTAAAATTTGCTCACTTACAGTGTAAGATTAATTGGGTTTTGTGCGTTTACAGCCTTTTGCAGCCATTATTACAAGCTACTTTTAGAATAGTTTCATCACTCCAAAAACTCTGTATCCGCAGGACTATAGTGCATTTCTGCACCCAGTAGCATCATTCTTCATTTACCATTAACCCCCCAGAGCTAGGCAATTACTGGTGTACTTTTTACTTTTCTAATTAATATAAGTGGAATCATATATGTGAGTATGTATGTTTTCAAAGCTTGTCCGTGTAGCTTGTATCAAAACTAAATTTCTTTATTGCTCAACAATATTCCATTGTATGCATATATCATTTTTTCTGTTAATCATTTGATGGATGTCTGGGTAACATTTTGGGGCCATAATGAAGTTGCTATAACATCTGTGAAAAGTTCTTATGTGGATATATGTTTTTCTCTGGAGCACATACCTAGGCATTCGCCAGATCAAAGTGTAAATCTATGTTTAACCTCTTGAGGAACTGCTAACCTGTTTTTCACATTGTGTCATCTATTGCCCATAAATGTATGGTTTCACTCTTGATCTTGCAGTTCTGTTCCATTGATCTGTATGTCTGTCCTTCTGCTAGTACTACACACCCTTGACTAATATATATTTTTAGTAAGTTTCGAAATCAGAAAATATGAGTCTTCCAACTTTGTTTTTCCTTTTCAAGATTGTTTTGGCTATTCTGAATTCCTTGCATTTTCATATGAATTTTGGAACAATTTTGTCAATGTTTGCAAAATAGCCAGCTGGAATATTGATAGAAGTTGTGCTGATTTTTAGGTCAGTTGGGTAATATTAAAATATTAAGTCTTTTGATCTTTAAATATTAAGTGTTCTGGTCCATGAACATGGTATGTCTTTCCCTTTCTTCAATTATTTAATTTCTTTCAACATTTAAAATATAGGTTTTAATGTATGTGCCTTACACTTATTTAATATGTTTCTATTTTTTCTTTTTATACTAATTTAATATGTTTTTATTTTTTCTTTTCATATTATTATAAGTGGAAATGTGCTCTTTTCAGATGTTTATTGCTAATGTATATAAATGCAAATGATTTTTCTATATTGATCTTGTATCCTGTAACTTTATTTAATTCTAGTTTTTTTAAAAAGCAGATTCCTTAGGGTTTTCTATACATAAGATTATGTCTTTTACTGATAAGAGTTTTGCTGCTCACTTTGCAATCTGAATGCCTTATATTTTATTTTTTTTTGTTTGATTGTCCAGGTTTAAGCTTCTAGTTCTCTGTTGAATAGAAATGATGAGAGCAGACACCCTTATCATGTTCTTGCTCTTAGAGGGACACAATTTAGTCTTTTACCATAAAGTAGTATGTTAGCTATGTGTTTTCAAGAACATCATTTATAAGGCTGAGGGGGTTCCCTTCTATGCCTAGTTTTTTGAGGGCTTTGATAAGGAAAGGGTGTTTGACTTTGTTGAAAGTTTGTGTGTGTGTGTATGTGTGTGTGTGTGTTGGTTTTATACCTTATTCTTCGAATATAGTGTATTACATTGATTTTCAGATATGAAAACAATTTTGAGTTTCTAGGATTCCACTTAGTTGTGGAATAAATAAATAAATAATCCTTTCTATTTTTCTTTTCTTTTGAGGTGGTGATTATTAAATCCAGGGCCTTGTGCCTGCTAAGTACAACTCAACCACTGAATTATACCCCCAGCCCCCGGAGTGTAATCCTTTTTATATTTTGCTAGATTTGGTTTGCTAGTATTCTATGGAGAATTTTTGTGCTGTTGTTCATAATATCAGTTGGTAGTTTTCTTTTTTTTTTTAATTTTTATTTTTTATTAGTTGCTCGAGACAATACAATGATCTTGACATATCATACATTTGATTCAAATGGCATATGAATTCTCATTGGTAGTTTTCTTATGGTGTCTTTTTTTCTACTTTTGATGTCAGTGTAATTCTGAATGCATAGAGCCCTTGACTATATCATTGTAATCCCAGCTACTTGGGATGCTGAGGTAGGAGAATCTCCATTTCTAGGCCAGTCTGGGCAACTCAGCAAAACTCTTTTTTTTTTTTAGAGAGAGAGAGAGAGAGAATTTTAATGTTTATTTTTTAGTTTTCAGCGGACACAACATCTTTGTATGTGGTGCTGAGGATCGAACCCGGGCTGCACGCATGCCAGGAGAGCGCGTTACCGCTTGAGCCACATCCCCAGCCCTCAGCAAAACTCTTGACTCAAAAAATGAAGAAGGCTGGGTGTCTCTCAGTGGTAAAGGACCCTGGGTTCAAACCCCAATATTAAGGGGGAGGGGAAGAGAAAATATTCCCTCTTTTGGTCTTATTTATTTATTTATTCATTCAGTACTTGGAATTGAACCCAGGGGCACTATACAACTGTGCTATATCCCCATCCCTAATCTTTTTCTTGAAACAGGGTCTCCCTAAGTTGCCTAGGCTGGCCCTTGAATTTATGATCCTGCTGCCTAGGCTCCCAAGTTGCTGGAATTACAGTCCTGTGGCACTATTCCTGGCTCTCTTCCAGTTTTTAGAAGCATAATACAGGAGAGGAAGATGCACTCCTGATGGAAGGAGGGCAAGTGTAGGGGGAAGAAGCAGGATGTATGGGAGAACCTGAAGGAAAGCCATTATGCCTGAAGCAGGGAAGGAGAGGGGGACCGACATGCAAGGAGGATTGTGCTAGAGAGAAATTTACTCATGGTCATTACTGTCCCAGAGGAGGAAAGGAAAGGAGAGAGCTTTGGAGAATAGGAACAGGCAACAAGGTGGGAGAACAACCAAGAGAGAGACTTTGAACTTGCCATTCTCCTGCCTCAGCTTCCTGAGTTGCTGGTATTACAGATGTGTGCTACCACATCCAACAACAACTTTATCCACCATGCGGTCTGCGCAATGGTTTCATTAATGAGGTTCTTGGCATAAAGTTAGTTAGAAGAGATCGAAATAAAACACACAGACTCAGTTACCTTATTTCTATTGCCAGGTCCGAGACGGCTCCCCTCTCTGGCTCCAACCTCTAACCGCCCAGCAGGGCAGCAAGGATTACTCAGGGCTAGCAGGAGAGAGAGAGAGTGAAAACGCCAGGGAGTAGCCTTTTATTGGGGAACAAGAAATTCAGGGGATAATTCCATCCAATGAAGGTTGAGGGGGGACTGCACTCCAAGGTCAGGGTCAGTGATTGGGCCCCCGGGGTCAGTGGTCAGTCACACCCCCACACGGACGGGTTCTCTCATCAGGAAAGGGCCGGGAAAATTCCGACACAGCTAGAAGCCTCAGACCCTTAACGGGAGCCGCCCAGTCACGTGTCAGGATGGCTTCCCACAACTTTATATATATATACACACACACACACACACACACACACACACACATACACACACATACATACATACATACATACACACACATACATACATACACACACACACACACACACTTTTATACCTTAACTATGCCTGGAGGCATAGTTCAGAGGTAGAGTGCTTGCCTAGGTGTGTGAGACTCTGGGTTCACTTTCAGCACTACAAAAGAAAAATAAAATTTTCAAGGAATTCCCAAACAACATTTTCCAAATTTGCTAATTGTCTACATTTGCTCTATTTACTTTATCTTTCTCCCTCCCTTCCCCCATATATGATAATAACAATAAAGTATTATTATTATCACACATAATATAGTCGCATTTGTTAACTTTCTTTCCCCATATGTATCTATATTTATATATGTATCTATCTATATATGTATCTATCAGTATATATATATATATGTATATATCTTTCTATCTATATATGTATATGTAGGTATATAACTATATATATATATATATATATAGAGAGAGAGAGAGAGAGAGAGAGAGAGAAGATTAACAAATATGACCATATTATCTATGATAATAATACTTTAAATGAGCAAACTGAGGAAAAGTTGCCACAGGTGACACAGTTAAATAGTGACAAAGAGGGCTTGAGCCTGACTCTTAAACTCCAGGGATGTTTAGGATCTTTCAGTTTGTGTTTCATTCAGCTAAGAGTGAGCATTTGAAAATTCAAATTTGTGGGCTGGAGATGTGGCTCAAGCGGTAGCGCGCTCGCCTGGCATGTGTGTGGCCCAGGTTTGATCCTCAGCACCACACAAACAAAGATGTTGTGTCTGCCAAAAATTAAAAAAAAAAAAAAATAATAATAATAAAAATTCTCTCTCTCTCTCTCTCAAAAATAAATAAAATTAAATTAAATTAAATTTAAAAAAAAGAAAATTCAAATTGATCATATTACATGCCAGCTCAAATTCCATTATTTTAAGATTCAGTGAAAATATCTATTAAAATAAGATGGATTAATGAATGAATAGAGTTGAAAAGATGGGTAGTTATGAAATAAATTATAATAAAATATGAGGGAATTTAGGTGGTTGCTTTGTGGTGGTTGTTCATTGTATAATTCTTTCTACTTTGTGTGCATGTGTGTTCCTGGGGATTGAAATACTCAGGGTCTTGTTGCTAAGCAAATACTCTACCACTGAGTCATATCCCCATCCCTTCCCACTATTCTTTAAGTTTGAAAATTTTCATGCAAAATATTAGGAGTGGCCGGATGAGGTGGCATAGGCTGTAATCCTAGTGGCTCAGAAAGCTGAAACAGGAGGATCATGAGTTCAAGACAGCTTCAGCAATTTAGGGAGACCCTAAGCAATTTAGCTTAGGACCTGTCTCAAAATGATAAAAAGGGCTAGGGATGTGATTCAGCGGTTAAGTGCCCCTGGGTTCAATTCCCAGTACCAACACCAACACCAACAACAAAATAATGGTGGGGATGTAGCTCAGTGGAAGGCATCCTTGGGTTCCCCAGTACCTAAAAATATTGGGAGGGAAGTGACTTAATTGAAAAAAAATGTAAGTCAAGTTAAAACACTTCTTGTATGTGGACCTTATGGACTTGTGTTTGTAGGTTGTAAGAATCTATAAAGTAATAGAATAGTGGCTGCTTTCTTCTGGTAAATAGGCTTTTATGTAATTAGGGACTTCTTATGCCCAACTCCAGGACAAAGTAGACTTCTAGTATTGAAAAATAATATTTATTTAGATTGTGTAATTAGGGAAGTTTTTTTTAAAATATATTTTATTTAGAGACAGGGTCTCACTGAGTTGCCTAGGGCCTCACTAAGTTGCTGAGGCTGGCTTTGAACTCAAGATCCTCCTGTCTTGCTGGGATTACAGGTGGGTGCCACTGTGCCTGGTGGGAAGTTTTAAGAGTGAAAGATAAGTATTCCTGCTGGGAGAAGTTGAACCATATCAAAAGATTTGGGTGAGAAAGGGCTGAGCTGGGGATTAGCTCAATGGTAGAACATTTGCCTAGCATGTGCAAGGCCCTGGATTTGATACCCAGCCCTGGGGGGAAAAAGTTTTGGTCCAAGGATAATCATTGTATCCTTCTTGTTATCAGGCTGTTTCAGACTACAGGAAGGGGCTCATCTGTCTCACTGCTTGCTTTTTCCTGTACATATACACTGCTTCCCAAACAATATATTTAGAAGAAGAAGATGCACAGATACTTTTTTTGCATTTAAAAGTATTTACCTTTCAGCAGAATTTTCCTCCTCTTTTGGGAGGCCAGTGCCAGTTTGTTTTTATTTGGCTTTTTCGGCGGTGGGGGGTGGGTACCAAGGATTGAATCAGAGGCACTTAATCACTGAGCCACATCCCCAGCCCTATTTTGTGTTTTATTTAGAGACTGGGTCTCACTGAGCAGCTTAGTGCTTCACTGTTGCTGAGGCTAGATCTGAATTTGCGATCCTCCTGTCTCAGCCTCCCTGAACTGCTGGGATTACAAGTGGTTATATTATATATATTATATGCCACTGTGCTTGGCTATATTTGGCTTTTAATGTAAGCGTTTCTAAAAGCAAAGAATAGATATCACTGTGCTAATTGTTGCAGAAAGGATTCCTTTTCTTTCTCTTTACTTTTTGGCTCAGGGGTGCTTTACCACCAAGCTACTTTTATTTTTACTTTGAGATAGGGTCTTGCTAAATTGGGAAGGATTTTGCTAAATTGCTGAGGCTGACCTTGAACTTGCTGTCCTCCTGCCTCAGCCCATCCCCTCCCCCCAGAGTCACTGGGATTGTAGGCATGTGCCACTATGCCTGGCTGATTCCTTTTATTTCATCACACTCTCAGTTGATGGTTTACTCAAGGCAACTTTTTTTTAAAAACTTTTGGTTATATTTTTGTCATTTTTTAATTAAATTATTCTAATTTGTTATACACGATGGCAGAATGCAATTCATTTCATATTACACATATAGAGCACAATTTTTCAAGTCACTGATTGTATACTCAAGGCACCTTTGAAAGCAGGCAGGATATGCCAGTATCATTCAGTGACCTGTTTGTGCCTTTCTGGAAGTCTACAGAGCAGAGTGTTAGGAGGAGAAGCGGGAGCCAAAGGTGCCTGCCGCAGAGGTGTTTGCTGAAACTTCAGAGTTGGTTGACTAATACAGCACGTGTGAATAGACAGGACGTTCTGGCTTCTTTGGGAACCTTGATCATTCCACTGGGTTCAGGAGAAATCAGCTGATATGTTGGCTCCCTCTCTGAGTGAAGGCATGTCCACAACAGCACATGACTGGGTGACCGGGTGTCCGCAAACAAGAAGGATCTCCCCAGGTTTCAGTGTTGATTTGTTTCTGTATGCTTCCTGTCTTTGCTGTCATGTGGAGTTTAGGCTACAGCATTGGGGCTGTACCTGCAAGCAGTGCTCATCCTAGTGTAGCTGTTTCTAAGTCTGGCTATAAATGAGAGTAATAATAGGATTACTTGCCTTGTAGATTTATTGCAGGTGAAGCTCTTAGGACTATGGCTGGAATTTAACAAGCACTCAGTAAATGTCAAGTACTCTTATTATGCTGCTCACTGTTGGGGCTGCCCTGAACAGGAGCTAAGCACCTCTTTAAGTCTGGAGTAAAGGGGTACATGCAATGCATGTGGGTTTGCCCCTGCTCCGCACGACAGTTGCAGCTCTGGAGTGGGCGTTACCCAGTGAGATGGGCGTGGCCTTCCAAGATGTCAGTCAATCTGCTGACCTAAAGACATCCCAAAGCTAGACTCAACCCTCAGAAACCTGACCCCGTGCCTTATTTGGGGTGGAACTTTCTTAAGTGTCTTCCCCTCAATAAAAGAGCTCAGAACCTGCTCCTCCCTTTTTTTTTCCTTGCCTGTCTTGCCCCTCTTGTGGGTGCTGTGGCTGAGGAACTATCATTGAACCCAAAGAAAAAGGTATTTTGTTTGTCTGTGTGATTATTTCGTGCCAGCCCAGTTCACCTGGAGTCACCCTGACTGCTTTAGTCACGTGTCACGGCAGCTCACGTTATTCTGAAATTGCTTCTTTTATTCAAACATGTCTTTGAGATCTTTTAAGTACTGATTAAAAGCCCTGCCCCATGTCCCGTGTTGGGGACTGAACTCAGGCCTCATGCTAGGTGAATGTTCTGCCCTAGAGCTACTTCCCCAGGCCCTGATTATCATTTTTAATAGCAGTGTAATATTCCTCAATTGGACCACTGCATCCTCCCAGCCTGAACCTAATTCAGTTGATAATAAAACCAGCCACTGAAATTGTCTCTCCTCATTAACTCAGTTTCTCTTTAACCTCTCTGTTCATTCAGTTATTAAGTTCTATTCTATGATTGATTTTTTTTTTTTTTTCGTACCAGGGATTGAACCCTGAGGTGCTTAACTACTAAGCCACATCAAGTTGCTTAAGGCCCCACTAAATTGCTGAGGCTTGCTTTGAACTTGTGATCCTCCTGCCTCAGCCTCCCAAGCTGCTGAGATTACAGGCTTCAATCACCATGCCTGGCTTAAATGTATTCTTAATCTCCCTCCTGTTCTTGACCTATAGGGCTCTGACCTGGTTCACATGGTTTTCTTCTCACCTGGACTGTATGGGTGAATGATTTCCTATTACAAGACTGCCTGCTACCATAATTAAGCAGGCTTAAATCTCAATCCATCTGCTGTCCAGCTACCAAACATGAATATTATGACTACATAAATTCTCTGCATGATTCAAGATAGCTGGTAGCATTCATGACACCTGGTACTGGACATAATAAAATTATTGATGATAGCAGCTTATGGGGCAGAGAGTAGCAAAGGTCCAGGATCTGCCCAGGCCTGTAGTTACTTCATAGAGAGGTAGACTGGGATGGATACACTGCAGAGAGCCCTCTAGTAAGAATCCAGTGCCCCACAAGTAAACATAGACTAGGAGTGGTATGGAACACAAGAAATGCTAAATACTGAATCCAACAATTCACCTTCAAAGCCTCAAGAGCTCAGAAAGTTTTTGTATTCCAGGTTGCTGGCTGACAGCAGCAAGGCCTTACCTCAATACCAGGAGGAGGGCTCCTTGACAATTCAGCTGAGACAACAGTGTTTGTCCCTACCCACTCGGTGCATGATCAATACTTATCTCTCCCTTGAAACTCCCAATACCCCATGTCACATGTGGTTGTCCAAACTGGTTCTTTTTGAGTTCATGCTTGCTTCTGATCACAGCCATAGCCTGGACTGCCCCATGGTGGTGATAAGTTCTTCCAGAAAGACTATGGCCCCCTTCTGGGCCTGCTCTGCCTTGACTCACTATGTTAACATAATAAGTCTCTGTGTTCGGATCACCCCAAACTATGAGCTCCTTGAGAGAAGTGTCTGTTAAATTCACCTTTTGTATCCTCCATGCTTGGCACCAAGCCTGATATGCTAACTAACTGACTGACTGCATGTTTGAATAAGCCACAGGGGAGCATGCAAATTGCCTTCATGGCATTGCACTTAATTTGTAATATATCCTTCTGGACTTTTTGCCCCTAGCTTTACATCTCTTTATCACACACACACACACACACACACACACACACACACTATTTTGTTTTATAAAATTCAGATCAAACTTTAAAACCTTTCCATATTTACTATATTATGAACATTTCTCCTCATCAAAGAATTCTTTTTAAAAAAAATTTAAGGTACTAGGGATTGAACCCAGGGGTGCTTTACCAGTGAGCTATATCCCTAGCCCTTTTATATTTTATTTTGAGACAGGGTCTCACTAAGTTGCTTAGGGCCTGGCTAATTTTCTGGGGCTGGCTTTGAACTTGTGATCCTTCTGTTTCAGCTGTTCAAGCTGCTGGAATTATAGGCATGCCTCACTGCACCCAACTATCAAATATTCTTGTGGCCCTTGAATCAGTCCTATATAGTATTTCAGTGATGAAGTGGTTTGTGATTGAACCTTTCCCATTTTCAAATATATAGCCTGTTTTCCAGCTGAAATGATTCATGGTGTCTTTTAGCTGAGAGTGTTTCTTTTCCATGATGACAAAAACATGGTAAACAAATGGTGGGTCTGAAGCAAAAACAAGGAAGACCATTAATAACAGGCAAAAAGAGATTATTCTGGTTTTACTGTTTTTGACTTTAAGATTCTTCAAGCAATAGCTCTAATGAAGGCTTCTGCTATTAGTGCCTTTTGTGTTGAATTGTTATTTTTTTCCCTAGGATGATGGCAGCCCAGGAAGCCAGTCCAGGCAGCCAGTCAGGAGAGAGTTGTGCTTTGGACTTACCATCAGCAAGCGACATAAGAGACTATGTGCTGCAGAGACCCAGCCAGGAGGCCAACAGCGAGGCTCTTAGTTCTGTGGAATGCCATTCTTTTCCTTGCTCTTCTGATGTGGATCCAGGTAATAAAAACAGTTTAAAACAAACTAACATAAAAACAATTTAGCAGATACACTGGTGTGTGATTGTTTCTCCTTCTTCCAGTAGCAGATCTCAGAGAAATATTTATTGTCCTACGTAGAAAAACATCATAACCCAAGCAAAGCTGTAGGGAGAGACTTCAAAGGACAGCCTCCCCGATGTAACAATAAGGAGTTGGTGTTTCCTGGAATTCTTTTTAATCTTGGGTCCCTTTCTGATCTCCATCCAAATGCACTCAGAGACAAACACTTAGTTCAAGAGGGAGAGAGTAGAATTGTTTTTTTTTTTTTTTAAATGTGTTACCTTTAGTAATACAAACTATTATTCCTATAGTGAAGCGTACTCTGGACTTAATCTTTTTTTGTGTATGTATGGTGCTGGGGATCGAACCCAGGGCCTCGTGAATAAAAACTAGGCAAGTTGTTACCACTGAGATACACCCCCAGCTACTCTTGATTTTTTAAAAAATATGTATTTATTTTATTGTTTTGTTGTTTTGTCTGCTGCATATGGGTGCTCATACTATGTTGTTTTTGTTTGACAGTGGAGTGTATTTTGAGCTACACTGTATTTGAATAACAACTTTTCTATAAGTTTCCCTGATTCTGACTGAATTGTCAAAAAGTCTATTTTAAGCTTAACGATAATTCCCTGATGTAGCTAGTGACCATCTCTAGTTGAAAGCTCATCTTTTACCCATTCATTATCCAACCCTGAAGGTCTGCAGACCTGTCAAGTTCAGCTTTGCTGCCTACTGCTATGTGACTTGGGGTATTTTTCTTGATTCCTCTGAGTTCACAGTCCTCTATAAAATGGTAATCAGAATGTTCGAGGAATAAGGTTTGACTCAAGGAATAATGTAAAGTACTTATCCTGGTGTCTGCTGCATATGGGTGCTCATACTACGTTGTTTTTGTTATTGCTGTTATTAAGAAATCAAAATATATTATTTTTAATTAATTAGTTATTTCTAGTACTGGAGATTAAACCCAGGGGTGCTCTACCACTGGGCAACTTCCCTAGTTCTTTTTGTTTTTTGAGACAGGGTCTCACTAAATTGCTAAGGCTGGCCTCAAACTTGCAATTCTCCTGCTTCAACTCACAAACTGCCTGAATTACAGGCATGTTCCATTGCACCTGGCTAAAATATCTATTTTTAAAGAGAATTCATTGGATATGAAGAAAATGTATGGCTTTTGTGATGAATTCATTGATGACAGTCACAAGGCTATGTGTATTATTAGCTTTCTATTGCCATAGAACAAATACCTGAGTTAATCAATGATAAAGAGAAAAGGGTTATTTTAACTCATGGTTTTAGAGAGTTTAAAGGTTCCAGTTCACGATTGGGTGCACCTATTGCTTTTAAGCCTCTAGTGAGTGGTTGGGGAGCATAGTATATCAGGATGGGAGTATGTGACAGGGCAGAACTGCTCACCTCATAACCAGATAGTGAAAGAGAGAGAACAAGGAAGAGGCTGGGGTCCTACTGTCCTCAGGGCATGCCCTCTATGACCTAAAGACCTCTTACTACGCCTGACTTCCTAAGGTTTCCGCCATCTCCCTGCAGCACCAAGCTGGGACCAAGCCTTTATTTACCACACGGGCCTTTGAGGGCTATTTAAGATCCAAACTATAGCACATGTGCTTGTCATTGTCTTGAAATATTCTATGAAAAGAATTTTAAACTCCCTTGTGGTTCTATTCTGATATAGAGTAATAAGGATCAGTAAGCTTCCTATTTAATTTAATTCCTGATCAAGAATTAGCTTCATCTTATTTCCTTTAACCTTCTCTCTTCCTCCTCCTGTACTACTGTTTCTACTTTAAACCTCTAAAACTGATTTTATTAATCATCTCTGATAACAGTTTTTCCTACAAGTTAATGGATGTAATTGAACAGAACTTTAGAAATGTTGGCCTATTGAAATACTTCAGGGCAATGATTCTATTCCATATAAAGTACTGCATAACCTTTATGCTTAGCCTCCATAAAGTACCAGGTTTTATGGTTTGGTGATGAGGTGTCCCCCAAAACTCCCGTTAATGCAGGAATGAGGTGACATGATCAGATTAGGAGAGCTATAACCTAATCTGTTTCATTTTAGCTTGAACAGACTGGGTAGTAATGTAGGCAGGTGGGGTGTGGCCAGAGGAGGTGGGTCACTGGGGTTGGGCCTTGGAAGGGTGCATCTTCCTTGTGGCCCTTTCTTTCCCTCTCTTTGTGTCATGAGCTGAGCAGTTTTCCTTTGCTGGCTCTTCCCCCATGAGGTGCTGTCTCACCTTGGGCCCACAGCAATGGAGTCATCTGAATATGGGCTAAGATTTCTTGAAATCCTAAGCCCCAAACACACTTTTCCTCTTCCAAGTTGTTCGTGTTGGGTGTTTTGGTCACAGCATTGCAAAATCTGATAACAACATCTCCCATCTTTTAAAAAATACCCATCCTTGACCCTAAATCTCTCTCTAGTTATAGTCTTGTTTCTTTGTTCTCTGTAGACTCTCAAAAGATCTTATCTATGCCTGCAGTCTCCAATTCCTCTCCTCCCAATTCCTTCCTAAACCCTCCAGCCTGGCTTTTATCCTAAGTCTTCTACAGAAATAGCTCTTGTCAGGGTCACCATTGATCTCCACATTTTAAAATTCTTTGGTTACATTTTAGGCCTTATCCTTTCAATACATTAGTAGGGCTTATACAGTTGACTTTTTCCTTCTTTGAGTTTTTTCTTCTTGTCTCCTGGTTTTCTTAATACTTTTCTGGTTGTTTCCAGTCTCCTTTGCCAATTTCTTCTTTCTTATCTCTCCAGCATTTAATGATGGAAAACCCAAGGCTGAGACCTCAGAGCGCTCCTCTTGTTAGCATCACTCACTCCCTGAGGGATCTTATCCAGGCTGGGGTCCTTAGATGCCCTTGGTACCTTGCTCCATTCTGAATTCCTGTCTCCAGCTTAGACATTTAGACCATCTGCAAACTTGATGTCTTCATCTTGTTCTACTTAGACTCATTAAATCTGACATATCCTAAACCAAATTAATAATTCATCTGCCTCCTTCCCAACCCCTTCTGAACACACATACATATTCACCTGCTCAGAAAAGGATTTTCATCCTTCTTTAAACTTAGCCATAAAACCTAGGAGTTAACATAACTTCTACTTCTTTTTTTCCTCTTAAACCTCACATCCTATTCTATTCTACCATTAAAATAAATCTAGAATCTAAACAGACTTTGCCCTCTCCACTTTTTTAAAAAAAATTTTATTTATTTATTCTAATTAGATATATATGACAGCAGAATGCATTTTGTTCATTGTATACAATTGCAGCACAACTTTTCATTTCTCTGGTTGTACATGAAGTAGCGTCACACCATATGTGCAGTCATACATGTACCTAGGGTAATGATGTCCGTCTCATTCCACCATCTTTCCTGCTGCTATGCCTCTCCCCCAACTTTGCCCAATCACAGTTCCTTGAACTTGTGATCCTCTTGCCTCAGCCTTCTTACCTGCTAAAATTATAGACTTGTGCTACCATACCCAGCACAAGCTCTTCTTTATATATATATATATATATATATGTGTGTGTGTGTGTGTGTATGTCAGATCATGTTAGTCCTCAATACAAAGCCCCTGTGGCTTCTCATTTAATTCAGAGGAAAAGCATCTTAGATCACCTTTCCCCACCACTGACCCTCCTTCCTGGTTTTATTCTTTTCTATAGCACTTACTACCATAGCACCCTATATATTTGATTATTAACTTATTTGTTTGTCTCTTCCCATTAGGATATAAATTCCAGAATAGCAGATACTCAATAAATACTTATATGAGGAATAAACAAGAAAATTTTAACTGCTATTATTATGTCAGTAAGAGATAGGCCTAGGTGGATGCAGTGGTACACGCCTATAATCCCAGCAACTTGCAAGGGTGAGAAAAGAGGATCACAAGTTCGAGGCCAGCCTGAGCAATTTAGTGAGGCCCTAAGCAATTTATCAAGACTGTGGTTCAAAACAAAAAGGGCTGGGGATGTCACTTAGTGGTAGAGCACCCCTGGGTTCAATCCCCAGTACCACCAAAAAAAGAAAAAAAAAGAGAGAGACAGAGACAGGTATACAGATTTAGTGCTGAAGTTGTTCACAGCAAAAAGTTTCCATTCTTTTCAACCCCTTTACATAGTTTAGGGCTGGTGTGGATAACTTAGGGAAGTTTCATGTAGAATGAAAGAGAATCATATGCAGCACTGAATTACATGAAGCCTGACTTAGTCCCCTAGTATGATCTGTGTTAGAAGAGGAGGTTATCGGGCTGGGGATGTGGCTCAAGCAGTAGCGTGCTTGCCTGGCATGTGTGCGGCCCGGGTTTGATCCTCAGCACCACATACCAACAAAGATATTGTGTCCGCCAAAAAACTAAAAAATAAATAAAATTCTCTCTCTCTCTTAAAAAAAAAAAAAGAAGAGGAGGTTATCAGGTTTTCTCTACCTCCTAGAAGTCAAGACATGTGGTTGCAGTAGATATGAAACAGAACTGTGAGCCATTTTAACATGGACAGAGTGAGTCATGAAGCATGCTGCCATAGTATAAACTCTATACCGCTTTGTCAACATAGAAAATTTATCTAATGTATGCTCCTCAAATAGGTGAGTCACTCTGCCTACGTCCTTCGGAGTCCTGGTTCTTACTTTCCTTCTCCCTGCTTGGGCCTTCTCCCCAGCTCTAGGTGGCCAGTGCCTTCATGTGTCTCTTATTAAAGTTTCTCAATAAAGTTAGAAACTTATTCAGAATAGAATACAAAGGACTGACTATGGCTTCAAGTGCTAGCTTTTCCAGGCATGTGTTTATTGATGAGTATCTAACCTTAACCTAAAAGAATGGTTAGATTTCAGGAATCAAGAGTCAGGTAGAAGACATATTTGCAGAGAATGGCCTTTCTGGTGTCTTCAAAAGGCCTTCTATATTTTCCACCCCACATATTC